GGCATCCACTTCCAAAATGGCTTGCCTCCGGAAACTCTATGTATGAACAGAGCTCAGGCCATTCGTTCATAGGGTCGCTATGAGTCGTCTATGACTCAACGGCACCAAACAACAACAACCACCACCACCTTCTTGGTTAACTGCTGAATTATTCCTCCACAGTATCACCAGGATTCCTTGAACAGATAATCCTTAACATCAATGATTCAAGGAATGAAAAGATTCTGATACTTAGTTAGTGTTGCTATTCTGTGCCATTGAGTCGGAACCGACCCCTGGCTGATGTTCCAGTGTGCTTTCAAGGCCTTAAATTGTACAGGAGGAGGTTACCCAGCCTTCTCTCTAAGGAGTAGCTGGTGGATACAAACGTGTCCCCTGACGCCATGTACCAATATCAAAGTATGTTGTTGTTAGGTGCGGTTGAATTGAGTGCAACTCATAGCAATTCTACGAACAAAAGATGTGAACCCTGTCCTATCCTGTGTCGTCCTCACACTTCCTGACACACAACAGCCCACTGTGGCAGTTACCGTGTTAATCCACCTGGTTGAAAATCTTCCTCTTCTTTGCCAACCCTCCACCCTTCTCAACATTGTGTCCTTCTCCAAGGAACAGCCCCTCCTGGCAACATGCCCAAACTATGTGAGGTGAAGCCTCATCACTCCTGCCTCCAAAGAGCACTCCGGCTGCACCCTCTCCAAGACACGTCTGTTCATTCTCTTGGCCGTCTGTGAGATGCTCAGTGCTCTTCTCCAACACCACAGCTCGAAGGCGGAGGTGCATTTTTCTGGCATTTAGTAAGTTACTGGCATTTATTTACATGCCTGGTGCTGAACACTGCATGTGGTACGCAGAAGGCACTTAAGAGATGTTTGGAGTCCCTGGACAAGGCATTTAGCTACTAATTGAAAAGCTGGTATTCTGAATCCGTCCATAGGCTGCGCAGAAGATAGACTTGGCCATTTACTTTTGCGAGATCACAGTTCTACTCAGAAACACAGAGGGTCACAGTGCACTGGGATGGACTTGATGCCACTTGATCTGTTTCGTAGATGTTTACTGAGTGAAAGCCAATCTAGGGCTTATAGATAGTGGCTCTAAGCCTTGACTGCTTCTCAGAAACACCTGATTAGGCCTTTAAAAACTGCAACACGCGGATCTCAACTTTAGAACAATAGAACCTGAATCAATCAGGAAGCGACCAGGCATCTGTACTTCTAAAGTCCCTCAGGAGATTTCAGTGAGCATCCAAGAGCAGAGAACCAGGCCTATGGGCATGGCACCAAGTGGCGCGTTCACCATTTCCAGCTCGCCTTGGCTCTCTGACACCTTTGATTAGCCCTCACTGGGGCTGGGAGGCAGTTAAGAGTCTCCGCTCTTTGACAGGGAAAGACTTCCAGGTCATATTTCTGCCACATGTTAATGACAAGAAACACAGCTGCCTCAAGTGTTGAGGGACCCAGAGAGTACATTAATGCATCGGCCCAGCCATGGTTTTTCTGTGGATTGAAGAAACAGCAGGAGAAGGAGAAAGTTCACATCTGAATAGGCCTCTATCTGCCTCCTCATAGTAAACTTGGCAGTGCCATGCTCTGAAGTGTGTGGCTAGACGACTGCACTGTCAGAGGCTTCCCACGGCCTGTGGAATACAGTTAAGGCACCTTGCACCCTGGGTCCTGTTCAGTCTCTTGTTTGGGCCACGTCTTCCTTTGTCCTTTACGTTATTCACTCTTCCTCTGAGACAGCTCAGGATTCTCCAGTTGGTGCCAACATTCACCACCCTCGTGGGTGTAACAGGGTCGGTTGTATCGCCTCGCAGACCACCCTCGAGATTCTATCAGAGTCACCTTTACCAGGGACACTGTTAATGCTCTGCTCCCTCAGACTGGAAATAGACTCCTCATCTACAGTTGTTCAATGTTATGTATCATCAAATTGAACCCAATTTATAGCTGACCCTCCAGTGGCTTTTCAGAGGCTGTAAATCACACATGAGGAGAATGCCCATCCTTTTCCTATGAGCCCCAGTTTAACAGTAGGAATTCTGGATAATCAATAGGCTTATTGATAACGCAAAAGAATAACGTACAGGAATTATTATTATTCACCAATAGAAATTATTAATTACCAATATTCACCAATAGAAATTATTAATTACCAATAGAAATGTAAATGAGGTTGCCCTGGGTGTCCAAAAAGAATCAAAGCATGTACCTTTCTGTTTAGAACGCTGGGTCACACAGCGAGTAGTTTAGGCTCAACTGCTAACCCAGCTTTTGGTGTTTCAAACACACCTGGTTGCCCCTTGGAATAAAGATGATTTGCTTCTGTGAAGACCATGGCTGAGGGCACCCTGAGGAACAGCTCTTCCTGTAACCATCACCTCGGCTTGCCAAGCTGGTGCGTGGCCCACTAGGTAGCAGATCACATCAGCAGCAGCAGCCTATTTCAGTCACCACAAGGACCCTGGGGACGCACGGTTAACCACTCAGATGCTAACTCAAAGGTCAGCAGTTTGAAGCCATGTGTCACTCTGTTGGGAACCAGGAGGCAGTTTGCCTCCATGAAGACTGACGGCCTCTAAGTCCTGGGGGGCCGTCCTACGCTGCCCCTCATGCGGTAGGCATGGGCATTAACATGATGGCAAGGAGTCTGGAGCTTCAGTCATTCACCAAAGTGCCTCTCTCTCCAGCCAGCTGCTGGTGAGTCTCGACCTAGAGGGCATTTCAAGGCACTGACAGATCCTGGCTCGAGGCGGCTTTTCCTAGATCCCCGAAGGTGCAAGTGCTCGCAGCCAAATGGATAAGGGACAGGCACACACTGCTGAAGGCGAAGGGGCCACTGTCCCATCACAGTGCCTGGCCATTCATTCATTCGTTCATTAGTTCAGTTTCCAGAGTTGGGGGGGGGAATCCTCTTTCTTTTCCCTTTGAACATTTTATTGTGCTGGTGTGAACGTTTACAAAAAAACTGCTTTTCCTTCAACCACTCATAAAACTGTTGTTTTATGGCATTAGTTACAGTCCCCATACTGTAACAGTTCTCTTTCCATGCTCTCCTGTGACCCTCATTTCTATTCACACTTCCACTTTCTCCCTTTCGCCTGATTCAGGCCACGATCTTTTCAATCACTAGCTATGCATTTGAGAGCTGGACAATGAATGAGGATGACAGAAGAAGAATCGATGCCTTTGAGTTGTGGCGCTGGAGGGGAGTTACCTGATTGCCCATGGGCTGACTAAAGAACAAAGAGATATGTCTCGGGAAAAGTGCAGCTAGAGCGGTCCTTGGAGGCAAAGATGATGAAGCTTTGTCTCTCATACTTGGGGCCTGTTGCTAGAAAAGGCTATTCCTTGGAAAGGGCCATCATGCTTGGAGAGATGAGCAAGAGCCACAAGACGGACTGATACTGTAGCAACGGGCTCAGGTGTGTCACAGATGGTGCGGACGACACAGGACAGGACAGGGGACGGGTCAGTTGTTTCCAGGGTCAATACGAGTTTTGCTTGACTCAATGGAACTTAACAACAGTTTTCTGGGTTTTCTCCCCTGGCAAATACTGCCTTTTGGCTCGACCATGGCTAGCTGTAAAGAAGCAGCACCTCTTTGCTCTTAATGTGTATCTTACGAGCACGTCTATTGCTCGACACACCTTTTCTTGAGGAACCTCTGTAGGGGAGCCTCTGCACAGAGGACTGGCTGGGTCCTTGGGATGACGGTAGCTCCTCCCTCTGCTGAAGGATGTGCAAGCAAGTCCATGAGCATCGCTGGCCCTGCCTGGCCACCCACAGGGGCCCTTCAGGATCTGGGAGGCACAGCATGGCAAAGCAGACACTAGCTGAGGGACCCTGGCGGGGAGTCTTCATTCTCAGCAGAGACCTACCTCTCCTCAGCTACACACAAGGAGGGGGTTTACTTCCTGCTCCCTCCCGTCTCCATCTGAAGCACCGGCTTATACAACCAGAAGACGACCATCACCCTCCCGAACAATCTGAATGCACCCAGTGTTCAGGCTTTCTTACTGAAGAACCTCGTCCTTCCTTCAGAGAGTCCTGGGAACCATCAAAGTAGGTTCGGGGTAAAGTCTGTAAAAGGAAAGCATCTCCCTTACCTCTGAGCTGTCACGATGAACGTCAGGACTTCCTCTTCTCCGGAGAGGTGGCTTGTGTCGAAGATCACGCTGAATTCATACTGGGGAAAGAGAATGTGATGTGGCATCAGCAAGAACTCCAAATCCTAACTGCGGGAGCTGCAGTGGTCTAGAGTTTATGGTGTCTACGATTATCATATGATAAGCCTTCATTTAACGTTGCTCTCTCTGACTGTTAGGCCAGAGGCTCGCCTTAACAGTATAACAGTACATAGCAATATAACCCAGCCCAGAGCAAACTCTGTGATGTTATCCCCTGTCCTTTCAAGCCCCAGGCTCTCTACATGAAGTGTCATCTGCTTTAAACCGGTGCTGTTTAAATCTCACCTGGCTTCACCAGGTGTTGGAATCCACCTGTAGGCGAGAGGCTTAGGGCTTCATTTAACTCCTGCATCATCTTCCTAATTAAATATCACATCTGGATATCAACACCGCTGTGATAGTATTTCATATTTTTTAATCACCTCATTCATTTACATTACATTTTATTCTAAAAGGCAGTATCACTACCACAGCTGTACTGATTAGCACCCTGTGATCTGGGGAACACTGCAGCGGCAGAAGGTTTTTACCACACTGATAGGAAGAGTACATATGCCAAGTACATGTGGGAATACAGGAGGAACTTCTGACAAGTGGTTACAGACCCAGGATCTACCACCCGCTCTGTGATCCTGGCCAGACACTGAGCCTCTGTGCCTTTCAATACAAAGAAGAGACCGGTGTCTGATCAAGCGCCAGGAGATTGTGACTTACTTAAGCCTATAACCTTGGGTTCTATTGTGATTAATTATTCTTCTTGCTGTGTGCCATCAAGTCAGAGCCAAAGAGTAGCTGACACTCCAGCTGGTTATCAGGGACAGCAAATTGCATGGGAGGAGACGTCCCGTTTTCCTTCTTCAGAGCAGGTGGTAGAGTCGAACCATGTACCTTTGGGCCTGTTGTTGTTTGGTGCTGTTGAGTTGAGTATGACCCATAGCGACCCTACAAACAACAGATCTGAACTCTGGCCTATCTTGTCCCATCTTCACACTTCCTGACTCTTTAGAGCCCACTGCAGCAGTCACTGTGTCAATCCACTCGGTCGAGGTTCTTCCTCTCCTTTACCGACCCTCCACCCTTCCAAGCATCACATCCTTCTTCAAGGAATTGTCTCTCCTCGAAGTACATGAGGTGAAGCTTCATCATCTTTGCCTCCAAAGAACACTCTGGCTGCACCCTCTCCAAGACATAACTGTTTCTTTGTCTAGCCATCCATGGGATGTTTCAAATTTTTTTTCCAACACCACAGCTTAAAGGTATCTATTCTTCTTCTGTCATCCTTACTCACTATTCAGCTCTCAGATGCAGTGATTGGAAAGACCATGGCCTCAAGCAGACACACACTGGTCCTCAAACTGACATCAATACTCAGCGATTTGAAGAGGTCCCTAACCGCAGACTCTTCCACTGTAATACGTCTCCTGATTACCTGACTGCTGGTACCAAGGTTGTTAACTGTGGAGCCATGTAAGATAAAGTTGTTGAGTTTTAATATTTTCTCCATCTATTATGATAATGCCTGTCAGCCCAGTGGTAAGAATCTTTCTTGACATTGAGATACAATTCATACTGAAGGCTGTGTTGTTTGATCTTCTGCAACAAGTGCTTCAAGTCCTCCTCACTTTCAGCAAGCAGGGCTGAACTTAATACTATCTGAAAGTTAGGGGGCATCTACAGTAGAAGACGTCTGACCATCCTTTGTAGATGGACATTTCTTTTGTACTGGGACTTAAGGCACCAAGACAGGGCAGGAAGCTGGGCTGGAGGACGTTAAGAGATTGGAAGTCAAGGGACTTGTCCCATTAGGAAGTCAGAACTGAGCAGGAAGTCTGAATTCTACGTCGTTGTGTACCATAGAGTCAGAACCGACCCACAGCTGACCCTCCGGCATGTTTTCAGAGGCTGTTAATCCCATGGGAGGAGACTGCCCATCCTTTTTTTGTGAAGAAGCTGGTGGCCTTGAACAGCGTGCCTTCAGGATTGCAGTGCAGCATCTTGCCACTAGGCCATCAGAGCTCAATTCTATATCCTAACTAAAGGGGCTTTGGTGGCATGATCTGTAATGTGCTGGGTCGCTAACAGAAAGGTAAGCGGTTTGAATCCACCAGCTAGCTGCTCCAAAGGAGAAAGATGGATAATATCCTCCAATAAGACTTCCAGCCTTGGACATGCAGTGAAGAATCATTCTGAATGGGAACCAGCTGTACAGCAGTGAGTTATTTCTAAGCAAAGGATTGGGGCGAAAAGTTAGCATCAGAGATGGAGGCCTGGGAGAAGAGTTTGGAAATCTGGTGGGCTGGCTGTGAGACACATGCCGACTGCCAACCAAAGCAAGCCCACAGTGTGGTCGTGGGCTGTAGCTGGCAGCCTAGAGCCTGATAAACCATCGAGTCTGACAGCAGAGGATGGAAGCCGGGCTGCAGACAGAAGGAACGCCTACCCCTGCTGGCAAACACCCCTGTCTTTCCCCAGGCCACTCCCCTCTTCCTAAGGCTTAGTCTCCCTTCGGATCTTAACATCTTCACTCGAGAGGAAGACAGTAGTGCCAACTGGCAAGGAGAAAACCCTGGTGAACTGGAGTGAAGGCTCTATTCTGAATTTATCGTTCTATCGGCTCTAGGACGCTTTAGAGAGAGAGTTAATGGCTTTTTATAAAATGAATGCTCCTCCAGAGATAGTATGAGGCCTGGTGGTGTGGCCTGCATGAGTTGTGCTGAAAACTCAAAGATGATGTCCCTCCAGTGGTTCAAGTCCACAGGCAGCTTCTTGGGGAAAAACATGGGCAGCCACCTTCTGTGTGATTTGCTGTTGTGACTGTGGACCATCGAGTCAGAACTGACCCGCAGCTGACCCTCCCGTGGTTTTTAGAGGGAGTTAATGGCACAGGAGGAGACTGCCCATCTTTCTCCTGTGGAGCAGCTGGTGGTCTCGAACCACGTTGCTTTCAGGATTACAGTGTGGCTTCTTGCCACTAGGCGACCAGAGCCCTGTGTGATTTTCAAGCTCAGAAAGCCCAGGGAGGAGCAGAAATGAGTGGTTCTGACTGGCTGGCAATAAGTTTGAGATGAGCTACATACCTTAGACTTGATTTGTAATTTGTAATTTGCTCAGAAACGGCAACTCTTAAAGTTTTCCATTTAAGCCTATTTGCTCCATTGTTATCCCCTTTTCTGTTTTTTCCCCCTTTTTATTATGAATTGAGTTCACATAGCAAACTTGCTTTCTATCCAAGAAGTCATAACATTTTATGTTTAATGGCACAGAAGATTACAACCCTATGGCGTAACAGCATCCTACCCACTTCCTCTCAGTGCTTCCCTTTTCTATTCAGCCTTCTTTCCTACCCATTCCTGTGTTCTGAGTACTGTCTTTGGGCAAATGCTGCCCTTTTTTATTAATTTTTTTAAATTTTATTTTATTATTTGTGTGTGTGTGTGTGTGTGTACTGTCAAATCAGAACTGACTGGTACAGGAGGAGATCGTCCCTCCTTCTCTAGCAGAGCATCTGGTGAATTTGACCCGTGTGCCTCTGGGACTGCAGTGCAGCTTCTTGCCACTAGGCCACCTGAGCTCCCCAAATACCGCCCTTTTGATTTTATTCTTCTCTGGTGTTTGGGATCATTCCTAGGCCTTTTTTGCTAAGAAGCCCTAGTTGCAAAGAGTGTTAAGAGTTAGGCTAACTCAAAGGTCAGTGATTTGGATTCACCAGGTGCTTGATGTGAAAAAGATTGCTAGTCTCTTCCTGTAAGGATTTACAGCCTCAGAAACTTGAGGGGGGCGGGGAGGGTGTCACCATGAGGCAGAATCAACCTGATGTCGATTGTCTGGAAGGTGATTCATGGGTTGGAGGCAGATGATTCCAGTTTCATGTCTGAAGGGTGATTAGGCTCGGAGCCTCTGCTGAGTGGACAGAAGGGCGCCTGTCCTCAGAAGGAGCCTCATTGGTGGCCCCGGATGATGTGGGATGCAGACTGTGTGAGGAAATCTAGGGGGAGGCAGCTGTGAGTCAGAGGCTGGCGGGACGGCCTGGGGGTGCTGCACAAAAATGTTGCCCTTACCTTCGACTTTGACCTCATGAAGGGAAATCCCACGCTGCATTTGAGGAAGTCTGACTCCAGGAGTTCACAGGAAATTCCCAACTCCTCCTAGAACAGAAAAAACACCAACAGATGAACTGGCTGCCTGCGACACAGACGTGTGGAAGTGGCCTCAAGGAGGTAAATGGAGACTTTGGCTAACACTATCCTTATTCAAGCAGTTCCCAGACGATGGCCACTGTGGACCGTGGGAGCAGGAGGAGTCCCCCGGCCAGGGGCAATCCCATCCTCCTCCGCCATCCACTCTCCTCTACAGCCATCCACTCTCCTGCAAAGGCATTCAACTGTAGCTCGTAATACATTATGGATAACATTTAGAAGAATTCCAGGACACTTCATTGTGCTCACGGGAAACCTGTACACAGACCAAGAAGCAGTCATTCAGACAGAACAAGAGGAAACTACGTGGTCTAGGAGGAGGAAAGGTCTACTGAGCTAAGCCATAACACTGTCAATTGCACAGAGATGTGAAAGTTGGACAATGAATGAGGAAAACAGAAGGAGACTCCATGCCCCAAATTATGGTGTTAGGGAAGAATACTGAATAGCTCATGGACCACAGAGCTCTGGTGGCCTAGTGACAAGAAGCTGCACTGCAATCCCAGAGACATGTGGTTTGAGGCCACCAGCTGTTCTGCAGGAGAATGGGCATTCTCATTCCATGCAATTAACTGCCTCTGAAGAAATGCCAGAGGGCCCGTGATGGGTTGGTTCTGACTAGATGGTACACAACAACAATAAAAGAAAAACTCTGTCTTGGAGGAAATGTACCCAGAATATTCCTCAGAAGCAGGAGTGATGAGACTTTTTCCTCACATACTTTGTGTATGTTGTCAGAAAGAGTGAGTCCTTAAAACAAGAAAGTATGTGTGGAAAAGTCAAGGGTCAGTGAAAGAGAGGAAGGCTCTCAGTGAGACGGACCAATGCAGTGACTGCAATGGGCCCAGCCCTATGGGAGGACAGTACAGGATCGGGTAGGGTTGCTATGTGCCTGAGTTAACTTGATGGCACCTATTAGCATCAACAAAAGAAGACAGGTCCAGAGGACAGAGTCCATCAGAGCCACCCTTTGTTCCTGACCAGTGCTTTGGCTCCAGGCCCTAGAGCTCTCCAGATGCACTAGGCTGGGCCATGTGAGAGCTGGATGCCTCCTAAGATTCATATGAGGCACTCAGTACAAACTGAGATTTGTACACCAACGTTCATAGCAGGGTTATTCACCATCACAAGAACATGGAAACAGCTCAAATGTTCAACCACAAACAAATGGATTGAGAAATTAGGGTACATTCACACAATGGAATACTATGCAGCATGCAGGAGCAGTAACTTTGTAAATTATTACTTAACTTTGGAGGGACTGGAGAGCACTATGCTGAGTGAACTAACTCAGTCCCACAAGGATAAATATTGTCTAAGGCTGTTATTGTAGAATGAGTATAAGGATCCAGGAGGGGTGGGAGAGGCTAGAAGCAGAGGGATGTGGATGTGGAAGAGGGGATTAATCACTGAGTTGTACAATTTGACAGGTGGAGGTGAGGGAAATGGCAAGAATTTGTTCAAAGTTGTGTTAGAATTTTGTAAATAAACTAGTGAGAAAGAGAAAAAAAAAAAAGGCAGCCTGGTCACCTTCCTGCCCTGTCTCCTAAGGTCTGCCCTGATTCTGCCTTTTAAGATCTCACTAGTTTAGGGAAAACAAACTGGGGAAATCTGACGAAGGGAAAGAGAGGTTATATTTTGACAACCTGAAGTGGCGAGAGATGATAGAGCCCCCTAGGAGTCTTTTCAGGATGGGGGTGTCATGTGAGGGTAAGGAGGAGTTTCTCGGGATAATGGTCCACGGTGGACTCCACACAGCAGCACAAGAGGCTGGGAAAAAAGTCAGAGAAGCTACTGTCTCCTCTGAAGGACACGGAGCTTATAACCACCATCAAAGAGGAGCCAAGAGGCTTTTCATAGCTCACAAGCCTCTCCAAATCTCTGCAAGCAAACCAAGACTTCCAAGGAGAGAAGGCATGCTTACAAAACGCTGCAGGAGACAGAGGTGCAGAACGGGAGAATGGCACTTGCCAGACGCCAGGAAACCAAGGTTCAGTGAGGTCATGTGTCTTCACCAAGGTCATCCACAGGATGGGGCAAAGACCGAAAGAATTTGGACCGAGACTTGCCAACTTAAACCCCATTTCCTTTCTTCCTCCATTACTCTGAACTTCTCTACAGGAAACGTGCACAGCCAAAGACTCAAAAGCATCTAAAAGGAACCAGGTTGAGAAGATTTCAGGGCTGGAGCCCTTCAATTTCCAAGACCCACAGCTCAGCTTAGACCAACATTTCCATTCCCAAGCTGGGCTGAAATCATTTAAAAAAAATCATTCAATCAGTTAAAAAAATAGAAGTCTAATGGTGATTAATTTCATAAAACATAATCAGTGGGAATGACTGCATGAAACAAAATGTGAATGAAGAATAATATGAAACACAATAAAAATAAAATATGTAAACAAACAAGTAAAAAATAAAAAATTTTAAAAACATGAGAATTTACCACAAGTAGATATGTCTATTGAGCTACAAATTATATACATTTGCTAGTAGTAGGAGCTCTGCTGGCCTAGTGGCAAGAAGCTGTGCTGCAATCCCAAAGGTATGCGGTTCGAGGCCACCAGCTGCCCCGCAGAAGGACAGTCAATCTCCCCAGTACAGTTAACTGCCTCTGAAAACCGACTGGAGGGTCAGCTATGGGTCAGTTCTAGGGTACACAACAACAGCAACAACAACAACAACAACTATACAAGTAAATCGCGAACACCAAGCGCAGACAAAAGATAGGAAGTCAGAAGTCACAGTAGTAGTTGTGGAGTAAGTGGAAGGACAAAAATTCTCACCACCACACTTTATATGCATAATCATGATAGATGGAGAAAAGACTGAAACAGTCACCTTCATCTTACGTGGATCCATGATCAGTGCACAGCCCCTGAAAAGCCACTGGAGGGTCAGCTGAGTTGACTCTGATTTGAAGGTAACAGGCCAGTAACAGTCTAAATTATTATTTTTTTAACGTTATATTGTTTTTTCATACTAATTTTTCAATTTATTCTTCTCAGAACGATCACACAGTTTGTTGTTGCTCTATACTTTAGAATCAGAACAGACCCATAGCTGACCCTGCAGCGGGTTTTGAGAGGCAGTTAATCATGTGGAAGAAGACTGCCCATTCTCCTCTCGCGGAGCAGCTGGTGGCCTCGAACCTGGTGCCTTCGGGATTGCAGTACAGCTTCTTGCCACTAGGCCACCAGAGCTCTTAAATTATCTTTAAGATGGTCCAGAAGATAAGAATGCAAGTAAAAACCAGAAGTCCTTGGAAAGAACATGTCATTGCAAAAGTGATTTGTGATAGTGCAAATAAAAAAAAAAAGTAAACATATCGAGAAAGTTCAGGAAAACAAACTCGCTGCCATCGAGCCAGCACCAACTCAGAGCTGAGCCTCTGGCGGGCTCTGAGAAGCTCAGGAGATTTCCCATCTTTCTCTAGAGGAGCAGTTGGTGGGCTTGAACCACCTTCCTTTGGGTTGGCAGCTCAGTTCCTTACCAGTAAGCCTCCAAGCACCTTAAGGAAAGGCTGTTACCTTCCCTTTATAATACAGTAGGGTAATTCACATCCATCATCACTGGATCCCTTCTTTTCCTGCTCCTCCTCAGAAATTAATGAACTCTTGCTTTAATGATGCTAATAAAACAAGTAAGCTTTTGCCTGGAATTGAAAGCATCTCTGGAATTCAAAGCACGTATTTTTAAAATTTTTTAATTATTTTTTGTGAGTGTGTATCATCCAATCAGATCTGACTGGTATAGGAGGAGACTGTCCCTCCTTCTCCAGCAGAGCATCCGGTGGATTTGAACTGGTCACGTCTGGAATTGCAATACAGCTTCTTACCACCAGGCCACCAGAGCTCAGTATCTCTGACAATACGAATTACTACATCGATCCTGTTAAATAATGAACAGACCAAATGTCATTCTATAATTTTCAGTTTAATTTTCCAAGTGCAGTTCCAATCAAAACTTTGAAAAACATTTTTACGTGGGACTGACATCGGGGTTGAGGGAAGACAGAAAGAGGGGATAAATAATGCATACTGTATTGAAACAGATGAGGGAGAGAACTGTTTAAAAGGGATATGTGATTAGATATTATTGTCCTGACAGGGGTCCAGAATGAAGGCTGCATAGTGGAGTGGACTTGGGAGGGGAAGGATTGAATAACAATGAAAGAGTTCTTCTTTTACTTTTCAAAGAGAAAAGCCAATTGGGGTCGGGGGAGGGAGAGGCATGGAGAAAAGTGCAACAATGAATGAATTGAAATCCTTAGTCTCTGTAAACCTTCATGAAAATTAATAAAAAAAATTTTAAAAAAGAAAAACATTTTTACTATGACATTATGGACCTCATTTTTAAAGGATGCACATACTTAGCCTTTCTGTGGTCCTAATTGTCCTCTGCTACCTAAACCCATTGCTGTCAACACAAAGTAAAGACAGACTAGAATTGCCCCAATTGTTTCTCAGGCTGTAATCTTTACACAGCAGATGGCCTCAATGCTATTCTATGGAGCAGCTAGTGGATTTGAACCGTCAACCTTTCCATTAGCAATCAAGTGTTCAACCCCTAAACCATCAGGGCTCCTTTCTTTGCCAACAGAGACCTCCAATAACAAAATTATCATCAGGTTTCTATGTAGAGTTTATGGGTGATTGCGTCTGAATTTTAAAATTTCTCCACAGCCCACATTAATTTCCAGATCAGGAAAATATCAGTTAACATTTATTACAGACACGATGATGCTGAAATGCCTATCTGGTCGGTGCCCATTTTCGGTCTGGAGTCTCAGGGCCTGGCCCCAAGCCTGCACCGAGCAGCTACCGAGTTTGCATTTATTAAATAAACGGGTCTTGACTCACGGGGGATTTGGATGAAGGGACTTCAAGAAGAAACTCATTTGCTGGTTTGCCTGGCATGAGGGATGCTTGCATTGGCAGGGACCCTTC